GTATTTATTTATCCCAATCCTGTATTAGACAGGAAAATCCTGCAGTCGGGACTCAAGCTGTTGTACTGCCTCTCACGCAGCGTTGCAATTCTTCTATTCCTCCACAAGAGGGAGCCCCCTTGTGGAGTACTGTGAAGCTGTTACCATGGCAAGTCCACTGTGCTGTACAGTAGAAGCCATTTTAAGGCGCACGCGCGCGCACACACACACGAGGGGTATTAGGGGTGTCTTAACCTCACAGTATTTGTTTCCAGAGAGTAAGTCATCTGTGTACCAAGTTTGGTTAAAATTGCTTGAGGCATTCCAGATTTATGCTCGAACATACACACCCCTACCTCTGTTTTTATAATAATAAAATAATAATAAAATAATAGAATATAATAAAAAATAGAATATGAAATATATATATAGTATAGAATCTTCTATTTTTTATTATATTTATTAAATATATTAATAAAAACACAAGGTTTTATACTACTGTATATATATTCTACATTCTATTCTGTTCTGTTCCATTCTATTCTAATTATTATCCTATCCCATTCTCCATTCCATTCCATTCTACGCCTACACCTACTCTAAATACTTGCAGCGTGTTGCTGGAACCCATTCATTGGCCTTTCATTGTGTCTCCTTCATGGGGGCTTGCAACTTGGTGCTTTTTTGCTAAAGCCAGAAGGAGCACTAAGTGTGACAGGCTGGTAGCAACGATCAGCACCTGCCTTGAAAGCCTGAGATTTGCAAAACACCAGGCAGCAGTCAGAGTGGCTAGTTCTATTCAAAAATGCCCGTTTGTTAGAGAGAGAGAGAGAAAAAAACCCAGCACAATAAAAGCCTCTATAAGCCAATCCAAAAGATCAATAGTCATTGTGCAACCATCAAAGTACGGCAAAACTACCTCACCAGTCCATATGTTTGGTTCCTGTTTGCTTCCTGGCTCCAGTTCTTGGGGGGGGACTGAGCAGGTCTTCATGTCAACTCATAAAATATTTCTCTGGTCTTTTAGAGTTGCCAACAGAGGGGAGCAGTGGAACAGCTTGCAAAAGAACGAAAGTGCATTCCATAAATGTTTTCAAAGATAGTAACTAGGTGACCAAAGTTTCTGCCGTGCAAAATTCTAACTGGAGAGCATGATTGATGACTCTTGGCTATGGAGGTGTCCCATTGGAGAATATGAATTATGATACACCCAGAGGGGTGGAGGGAAAACCAGGGTTAAGGGTGACAATGAATGATGTGTCTCAGAGTCGGCTACACCCAGGCAGCGCTGGCATGTTAACTCCCAATAAATCCTTTGGAAGTTTTGGAAGTTTGGATCGAGACTCAGGATTTAAATGGGGTTAAGTGCCAGAATCCTGATACTTCACCTTCTGGCAGAAAGATCGAGGGGGTTGAGGCTTTCCAGAGTCAGGAAGAGGGCTGTTTTCCGGGGTGTGAAAGTGCCCCTCATCCCGGGAGATTCTGGGGCACGCAAGAGAAAAAAATTCTGTTTTTCTGACTCCTGCCTGCATTCTGACTCTCCTTCAGGCTGCCTGGAACATGAGCATGCTTCAAACGGAGGATGTCATCAAGTCCGCCCAAGCTTTGATGGAGAAGAAGAGCCCCAAGGAGGTGGTCTATTCCAAATTGTAGGTGGCAACCTGGTCCAAAGCAAAGGGGTGACAGATACGGTGGCTTTGCAGAGACCAAGCCTGGATGCCAGGACACGGCAAGACGGCAGCATCCCCGTGCCTTTGAATCACGCACTGCCTGCCTGTTCCCTTCTGGTTCACCTGCTGATTCTTTTGGGGTGCTGCAAAGCGAGACGCCCCCTTTGAAATGGTGGTGGTGGTGTTTCCCTAAGCACTCAGGCTAGCAGCTGAAGTGCCTATGAACGTAGATGCTGAAAAAGCTGGTTTTTAAAAAACAAAGATTAAATCCTGTTTTCATTGTAGGCCGTGGCCTGTTTTGGCTTTTTATTTTGTTGTTCTTACATCGGCTGCCGTTTCCCCCACTCCCCCCAAAAGCCAAACCCCATGCTTTTTTTTTTTTTTTTTTGCCTTTTAAGGATTTGGTTATGAATTTGCAAAGTGATGGAAGGTCAGCCAGAAAGTGAGGTACTAATTATAAAGCCTTAGTAAGACCACACCTAGAGTACTGCAGTTTTGTTCACATTATAAAAAAATGTTGAGGGTCTAGAAAAAGTACAGAGAAGAGCAACCAGGATGATGAGGGGACTGGAGGCTAAAACCTATGATGAATGGTTGCAGGAATTGGGCTTGGCTAGTCTAGGGAAGAGAAGGACCAGGGGAGACAGGATAGTAGCCTTCCAATATTTGAGGGGCTGCCCCAGAGAGGAAGGGGGTCAAGCTATTTTCAAAAGCCCCTGAAGGCCAGACAAGGAACAATGGATGGAAACAGAACAAGGAGAGATTCAACCTGGAAATAAGGAGAAACTGTCTGACAACAAAAGTAATCAACCCATGGAACAGAAGTTGCCTTCGGAAGTTGTGGGAGCACCATCACTTGAGACTTTCAAGAAGAGATTGGACTGCTATCTGTCAGAAATGGTGTAGAGTCTCCCGCTTGGGTGGGGGGTTGGACTGGATGACCTTCCAACTCTGATTATCTATTAAAGGAGAAAAATAAAGGGAAACACTTTTCTATGTCACTGCAGAGAATAAAAAAACAAACAAAAACAAAACTCCAGAGGAAAGTGGGAGCATGTTTTCTGATGAGCACATTTTATTTATAAGCAAAGAGTTTTTGTGGAGTTTGATTTTTCCAAAATCAGGAGACCGAGAGTACCTTTTCCAACTAGCATATTTTGGGGGGCTATTTTATTTCTTTATTGCCATAGGCCAGGGGTTGGCAACCTTAAACACTCAAAAGAGCCACAAAGATCCTAACCAGAAGCCGCCCCCCTCACACACACACAATCAATTCTGGAGCCAACCAGACTCTATGGCGGTACCCCCACCATAGAGTCTCCTCACAGCGCAGCGTCCTTTCTCCTCTACCTGCCCTAACCAAAAGCCCTATCAATTGTGGAGCCGACCAGTCGCAGCCTAGGGATGAAAGAGCCACATGCAGCTCCAGAGCCGCAGGTGGCTGACCCCTGCCGTAGGCTAATGCGTATTTCCTCCTACAACTAAAGCCATTCTAATCGAGCGTCATTTATCTGCTGCTGCTGCTGCTGCTGCTTTAGTAAAGCAGGGTTAGCAACCAGGAGGAAAACACAGAGTTTGGGGGTTTGGAGCAAACTTTAGGAATGGAGTCCAGACCTAATGGAGGGGCACAATTTGTGATTGTGAGAACAGAGTAAAAGCCGGCAAGAGTTTTGACGATTCCGTTCAATTTGAAGAGAAATCTCTATTTGAGAAATTAAGTGCTTTGTAGCTGGGTGTGGACAGAGGCCACTGCTTGCTGTATTCTGTCCCATCTTGCCCCATCCTTCTTCTGTCATCTGGCCATAGAGATGGGCCAGTCTAACTGGCAGGGTGTAAGTTGCAGACTCCCTGGCATCTTTTTGTAATATAATTTAAAAAAAAATAGAATATAGAATATATATAGAATATATATCTTCTCTGCCCCAGCCCCATCCTGCCCTCTCTCCCAGTTCACCGAGCTGCCCAGCCCAAGTTACCTTCCATAAAACTGTTAACTTGTTTAGTCAGGCATACCCTCCCTCCCACTCTACGAAACCCTAAATAAAAGTTATTCGTTGACCACTTCCTCCAGCGCCGCTCCCTGCCTTCAGCTCGGCCTCTGCAGACTGCACCAGCCACCTGTTAACCCTAACCGATGCCCTAGTTAAGAGTTTTTATGGGGCATCAACTGGGCAGGGCTCAAATGTTTGCAGGGCACGTCTTCCCTTTCGGTGCCTCCCCAATAAATGGCTGTTTCCTGGTCAGGTTCAAGAAGAAATGTCCCAAAGGTGTGCAGAGATTCTCAGCCATGGTTGTCCCAAAGGTGCTGTTTTTCAGGAGGCAACTGGAGTTTTTTTTTTTTTATTCTTTTCTTTTTGAAGACATTTCGCTTTTCATCCAGGAAGCTTCTTCAGCTCTGACGGGATGGTGGGGAACGGAAGGATTTCTTTTCCTTGCAGATAGAGCTGGTCATTTGCATCCTTTTTAGAGGGTCGTTGAGGCCACTTGGAGGTTTATCTGTGTCCTCAGGGTCACCTGAACAGTGCAAAGGGGTGTGGAGCCTTCTTGGCTGCAGGGTGTTTTCTGCCCTGTGTCCCTTCAAAAGAAAAAAAAAAGTCCAATTGCCTCTTGAAAAAGCACTTTTGGGACAGCCATGATCTGGAGGACGGAGAATCTCCATAGACTTTCAGGAAGAAATGCAAGTGATGTGAACGTTGTCGGAGCCTAAATAAAAAGCCCTTGGTTGCCTCAGAGTTGGCGGGAAAACTGGGCTCCGGAGGCTTTTGTCGATCCTCCGGGAGGGCGAAAATGGCCTCTCTGGGCTCCGGAGGCTCTCTGGAAGCCGGAAATGGGCCCATTTCCAGCCTTCCCGAACTCCCAGGAGGCCTGTTTTTCGCCCTCCCTGATCCTCTGCGTGTGCCTTGCACTTTCCTGCATCCAAAATGGGCCGGGTGGGGACTACTGGGAGGGGAGGGGGGTGAGGTGGGGGAAGCCAGCCAGGAGTGGGATTTGCAGTCCTCCGAACCGCACCGAATCTTAGCGAGGGTCTCTCCCGAACCCCTGCGAACCCCCAGCAGAACCACCCCTGGGTGCAGGGGATGGATCTTTGATTGTCTTTTGGGGGAAGGGAATTCGGGTTTTCCCAGGTGTGCCCATAGGAGAACTCTAATAAAATGGAACTTGGAGGTAATGCTTGTCTTGGAGTTTATTGGTTTGGAGTTGGCTACTTGGAACGCTGATAACAGGTGGGCTGGTGCCGCCTTCTCCGTGCTCCACCCTTTCTTCCTTCTTTTATAAAAGCAATAAGAGAAGGTTGCTTCGCTTCTCTCACTTGGGCATTGATCTGGACCAGCAGCTTGAAACAGGATCAGCATGACTTACTTCCCAGCACCTGGCTACATGCCCGCTTATAACCCGGTAAGTGTCTCTCCCACCTGGTTTTAACCTCACTATATCTTTGCAACAAAATTATTACACACCCGGATGGAGAAATACTGAAAATTGGAGTGATGGATCATAAAGATGGCGGAACCGACCTGTCTGAATCGGGGATAAAACGGTAAGTTCCTTTTGTAAAAGATTGGACCTCCGTTTTGGACTTTTTGCTGAAAAAGGGGCGAAAGGGATGTCTGGATGAAAAATGGCTTGAAGGTGGCATATTCTCGTGTAACCTATGACTGTCACTGAGTGTTGTATCTTACGATTCTTGATGAATTTTTCTTTATGTACACTGAGAGCTTATGCTCCAAAGACAAATTCCTTGTGTGTCCAATCACACTTGGCCGATATCTGAATTGGTATAGGATCTCTTGCTTGTTTAGGATTCTATGAGTCAGGAAGGAAGGAAGAAGGAAGGAAGGAAGGAAGGAAGGAAGGAAGGAAGGAAGGAAGGAAGGAAGGAAGGAAGGAAGGAAGGGAGGGAGGGAGGGAGGGAGGGAGGGAGGGAAGGAAGGAAATGGATGAAAACCCATCAAGGAGAGAAGCAACCTGGAATTAAGGAAAAACCTAACAGTGAGGACAATGAACCAGTGGAACAGCTTGCCACCAGAAGCTGTGGGTGTTCCATCACTGGAGGTTTTTAAGAAGAGACTGGACAGTCACTTGTCTGAGGTGGTTTAGGTCCTCCTAAACTAGAAGACCTCCAAGGTCCCTTCCAGCTCCTGCTTCTATTCTATTCTATTCTATTCTATTCTATTCTGTTCTGTTCATTTTCTGCATTCTATTCTATTCTATTCTATTCTATTCTATTCTATTCTGTTCTGTTCATTTTCTGCATTCTATTCTATTCTATTCTATTCTATTCTATTCTATTCTATTCTATTCTATTCTATTCTTTCTATTCTATTCTATTCTACTCTTTCATTCCAATATCCTATCCTATCCTATCCTATCCTATCCTATCCTATCCTATTCTAATATTAAAGGAGGAGGAGAGAGAATAAATTTGTGGAGTATTTGGTGGCTTCTGTACTTGGTGGTTTCCTTCCAGCTGGGAGAGAGCCACGGACTTGAGTTGAACCGGAAGCTACATATATTTTGTTCTCTTGGGATAATACGTTGATTTGTAACTGCTGTAGAAGATCAGAAATCCCTTATTTAATCACCTTTTTCCTTTTTTTTTTTTTTGACTTTCTACTGTTCATTTTTTTAATATTGTTGTCTTTTTCTCACTTTTCTGCATTTTTTCAAGTTTATCTTGGAAAAATAAAGAGACCATGGGATAAAAGAAATATGAGTTTGGGGGTAGAAATGCAATGGGAGAAAAGACCTTTCCTCCTTCTCTAGTAGATTAAGGGAGGGAGAGGGGAAAGCATTCAAACTTGCAAGATGGAGGTCAACCCTTCAACGTAGACCAGACCAGGAAACCAAACTCCCACAGCTTAATACTCCCTTTTATAGTGACACCGTCTTGCTGGTCTGAAAGTTGCAAGCGGATGTCGCCAAGCAATCTCCTAAACTCAAGACACCACCAAGAACTCCACAATTGAATCCAGAGATTCTCTTCTGTCAGAAGAAACGAAAGTGTTTGTCCATTATTTCTCAAAATAAATTGGCCAAACGTCCTAAAACTTGTTTGGGGTTCAATTCTCCTCCCCCTTTTCAATACAATTCCTCCCACCCAGTAGCATCTCACCCACTAGCAGATAAAACACGTTTCTCCTATAAAAGCTCCAGAAATGCAGAGGAAAAGGCCAATTCTTTCTTGTTTTCACCAGCCTAACCCAGTTGGCACTTGCAAAGTTTCTCCTTTCCTTAGAGGCTCCTCCAGTGCATGGAGAGATCTGATAAGAGGCTGGCATCCAGCCAGTCTGGCTCAATCCACTGATCTAAGAGCTAAAGCAGAACCGGTCCCTGGCTGCAGATCTGGTGCTTCCTCCACACCTTCCTTCCGCTGCCACATTGGGGGGATTAATCCTTAGCAGAGGCCCATCCAGGAGGTCTTGGTTTGACTCGGCTGATACACAACACACAGGTTATGTGGTTGCCTGGTTCAAAAATCACAGTTGTGTTTTGCAGTCAAGTCGTTGGATTGGCTCATTGTTTTCTGTCTTCCAGACTCTCCCTTACCATCAACCTGTCCCTGGTGGGCTCCATCCAGGGATGTCTGTCTATGTGCAAGGCACGGTGCCCAAACACACCAAGAGGTAATGGGTTTCAGGGTCCCACGGGAAGGGCAAGAAGTTATCTTACTCAAAATATTTGTTAAAAATGTATAATAAGTATTATTTGATTGCTTATTGTACCCTATGACTATTATTAAGTGTTCTACCTTATGATTCTCAACTTGAGGAATGTATCTTTTCTTTTATGTCCACTGAGAGCATTTGCACCAAGACAAATTCCTTGTGTGTCCAATCACACTTGGCCAATAAATCTATTCTATTCTATTCTATTCTATTCTATTCTATTCTATTCTATTC